AATTCTTTCGATAGTCACTGTTGAGGTGAGAATCCTTTGGAGGTACTGCAGCTTTTTCAACCTTATTTATAGTCATATATGAATTTAGTAATTTGTACTCTCATCCAAAGGACACAAATCTTGACAGTTTCTGATTTGGGATTTTTGTTTATTTTGATTAAAAGTGTAAATTTTCACTAATTAGCCAGGCTGCACAGGCTATCGATCACATTTTGCCTAGCAATTCTCTCTTCCTGATTATTGGAATATTTAAATTCTGTTTTTTAAAAAAAAAAAAAAGATAATAATAAAGAAGTAGAGAATCTTTCTAAAAATCTACCTGCTATCTTTCCATGAGCCAGACAAATCAGCTTTGTCCCAAACAAATCAGTTTTAAATATCTGTAAGTAGCCTTGTATCACATTACCAGAAAAAAACCCAAGGGTTTAAAATAAGTGTGTATATATGTGTATGTAGTTCCACCTTCATTAAGCATCTGAAGACAGAACATGATCATACATGAAAATAATGCAACAGTGCTGTGTTTTATGAACTTCTCCCTCTCCCAATTTCCTGAACAAGGTGGCAACTATGACAGTCGATTTGATGTGGACAAGGGCACGGGAACTATCATTGTCGCTAGACCTCTTGATGCAGAACAGAAATCAAATTACAACTTGACAGTAGAGGCAACAGATGGAACCAGATCTATCAGCACTCAGGTAATGGACTTTCTAATGAAGTACTTAACAGATGAATGAGTTTGTAGTTGGGGGTGGGGAGGGTGTTGCATTTTCTCTTTACCATTGTTTTCATCCTGAACAACGAATATGGTATATACAGATGAGGGACTCGTGTCTAACATAACTGGATTCTGATATTCATAGAACTGTGCTGTTTGGCAGTCCATGTGGAAGGTTGTGTGTTACTATGCTGTAGTCTGAATCAGCAGCTTCTAAGTTATATCATTTTCTTACATTAGCTGAATAAATGAAAACAGAAACTAAGCCCTTCCATGCATGATTTACTCACAAGAAAAGGATTAATACTTCTTATCTGAATTACCCCCCTTTATTCAACTCCCCCAAAATCACCAAATAATATGATTACTTAGCTTGAAATTTAAAAGAGCCCCATTGTATGGTTGTTTCCCGCGCAAGATCTGTATATGACAAATCATACAATGTCCAGTTACCATTTTATGAAACTGACCTACTCCTTCTGCATGTAGAAACAAAGTTTAGATGATAACACCTCTGTGTATCTTCCTGAGTACTTTCTTTTAGCTCCAGTGGAGGTAAAGCTTGCCAAATACTCTCCAAACAGGAGCGATCTTGGACAAGCAATTTTTTTTTTTCAAATTACCCCTCTACTAAGGTTCCATGGTGGTCGCAATTCTTGTAGTTGGACTAATAAGTAGTTCATTTTAAGGCAGAAGCCTTGTGTGACACTACTGGAAATAACTCACAGTAAAGTAGATTTTGATGTATATCTCTTCTGTTTTTCCCATCTAATTTCTTTTCCCCAGCCCAGTAACTGAATATATTTGCATGAAAGGTTTAGCTGAGGTTGGTATGAATGGAGCCATGAGATAGAGCAGCTCCACTTTTCTTCCAAATAGAAAGGAAATACTCTATTTACTGATTTAAAACTGTTGGATTGAGACAGTGATGTGTCTGTGTTACCTACCCCTATCATTGACTTACCCCTCTCAGTGGGGAGCTCAAGGAGCAATAGGTGGGTTGCTGCTGTCTTTTCTATCTATGGAAATCTGTTATGAACATATTTCTAGTTGTTCAACTTCTGAGCAATATGTCTGTTTTTCTGTTGTCTTTTCTGATGTCTTATATGTTGTCTTCCTCCTTTTGGTCAGAGGGATAGGTGTTTCCTGTCAATGTGTAGGATTTCAACCAGAATCTTCATTGAGCTGACTGCATGTCTGGAGGCTTGATAGGTCAAATAAACTAAATTCCATAGTAGAAGATTGCAAGGTTAGCAGTTTCATTTGAGAGATGCCTTTTCCTTTAATGGTGACAAGTGTGAGTGATATTCCAGACCATGAATCTCCAAACATGACAACATGTCCCCCAGTCAGAACTTGCTGCTGGTGCAGATAACCACTGTAAAAGGTTTGGAGGATCCTGCTGTAATTTCTTTTGCCTAGTTGTAGTAAAAATATGGAGCAGAATTATTTCTACGGATTCCAGAATGCTGGGTAGAAGGCATGAATGAGTTTAAAAAAGAGTAAATTAGGATAAACCCAAATCCAACTAAAAGAGAATTCCCTTTGCCAGGAAAGTCAGAAAGGCATCAAGAGGCTTTCCACACGCTTCCCTCCACGCTCACAAGAATGTAGTCAAAAATGCCACCATGCAGAGTATGTTGGGGTAACCTGGGCGTAGTAAAGGCTGAATTTTTGGTCCAGATGACTGTAGATATTCTATCCGGTGCTACATATAGCTGAATCTGTGCAGGTGTCCTCAGCTGTCACAGTTGAACCATAATCTGTTTTGTCTTCTGGAACAACCAGGAATCAGAAGGTCACAAAAATACTTTAACCCTCATCCCTTCTCTTCCTTTGGGCTATGCAATTCATTTATTTCTTCTTGGAGTTGCACAGTACAGCTTTTGTCCAATTTCTTTAAATGTATTTGTTATTTTTCGCATTTTGTAAAGCTGGGTGAACATTGTAAACATTTACCACAGCAGTCTTGAGGAGAAGAATTGGAGTAGTTGTCTGAAATTTGTCATTTCTTCTTTCTGTGATTGCTTTATGTATGATTTTCTTTCATGTCTTTCCTCCCTCAGCTAGAGTTGGCAGGAGCAAAGATTGTCTTCCTTTTTCCCCTGCTTGTGGGATAAGCACAAGTTATGCTGTTGCTGTTAGAGTCTCACGTTACTGTGGTATATGGATTGAGGAGCATGGATTAGTTCAAACTCTGCCACTGTTGCTTCATGAGCAGACCATTGATTTGAACTGATTCTCTTATCTCCCCCGTGACTCCTGGCCCACCCAGATGGACTGATCTGTTAAGATAGCCCTCAGGACTATCATTAAGATGATGCATTTCAGATGAGGCTTAACTCCAGGGAAATTAAAAAAGTTGACATGAAATTAAAGTTGAAGATATGATTTATGGCTGCCAGCAGGTAAATTCCACTACTCACTGCTGAAATAACAGTGACTAATGTTTGAGTGCTGAAGTGGTGTTGGATTCTTCTAAGAGCTGATAAACAGTTAAAATGGAGTGACAGGCAAAAGAAAATCTGAATACTGAGTGCATACATTAGGAACAACAATATGCCATACACAGCTTTTAGCTTAGAAAGCAATTGCTGTAAACATTGGGAATACAGTAAACAATTTAACAGACCTTGAATTACAGCAGATTAAGTAATTTTACATTTAATTTGAAAAAGGAAATGACATTTTCAAGATGACAAGAAACTAAAATCTTATTGTGTAAAAGCAGTGTATTGAATCTGACTTGAAACTAGAAGACATTTGCTGGCCTCAGGCCATTAACATCTGTAGAGCATTTGACTCTTTCAGGACTTCAGTTAAATAGCTTTTTTGAAAAATACAGCAGCAGTAGGCGTGGAGGCTGTTAGAAGTTTGCATACATCTAAATGCCAAATGCATGATGCAAAACAAGGACAAACAAATTCCATGCCTGCGGTAGTGGTGTTTGACTGATGAAGTTAGAGATTACTAGTGTCACACTAGGAAGGAATATCATTCAAAAAACAAATCAGTGTGCTAATGTTTTTGGATTTTTATGTTTTGGCCTTAATAGAAAAGGTTATTCACAGGATGTAAGTAGCAGTAGATGAACTATTGGGCTGCTTGGGAGGGGGAGGGAAAAAAAAAATTCCTCTTTCCAGCTACAGTCACTTCCAGTCATTGCTATGTTTATCAATTTTTTTCACTGGAAGTAATTCTTAAGATGGTTTGAAGCTAATTGCAGCATTTTATCTATAGCTGTGGTATTGCAGAATATTTAATCTTGCTTTATGCAAAATTTATATGGATATCCTGCTTTGAGGTTGTTTTGGGGATGAAGGATGGAATGTTCTTCACTGATTAAATGTGCGTTTTTGCTTGTGATCACCATGCTGCTCCACAGAGAATGGAATGCAGTTATATTATCTCTGGGTAATACAACTTTTTGTTTGAAAATTATTATAAACACGTCAGTGTGACTTTTATGTAATTACAAGTGAAGAGAGGAGATTTTAAACTCCAGTTAGAATCTGCAAATGAAAAATAGATTAAAACAATCTAAAGGAACATCATGTTTAAATAGTATGCACTGAGTATGTTTTGTCAGTGGCACGTGCCTTCCTTATAACGTGCTAATAATCAATACATTCATTTTCAAACTTAGGATTCACCTAAGTTGATTGACACCTTTCACTGTCAATTAATGGATTCCAAGTCATTCCCCTAAATAATCGTGGGCTGCTTTATCCTTGTCTGTATAACCAGGTTGCATCACTCTCACTGAGATTCCCTAAGCACAGAGCAGTTGTGCAACACAACCCTTGCATAGCCTTGCAGAATCAGTCAAGTTACTTTAGTTCCAGACCATTTCATTTCAGAGATTGCATTATGGTCTGTTAATGTCTAACTTTCCTGTAGTGTGCCTCTTTAATAGGCAACTACATACCTAAGACATAATATTTCGTATATTTCATTTGAATTTAATCATATTTCACTGAGAACTTAATGTAGCTGTTTTTATTGTATTATACATGTTACTTTAGAATAACAGCCGCCTTACATGTATTTTGTTCTCAGGTGCACAAATCCATATTATTCTGTGTGGATCTTTAAAATTGCACTCACTGTTATTACGGCAGATGCTTTTCATTTGGTTTGAAGGCCTTAACAGTTTACATGAAAATTTGGTCCTTTTACATTTAAAAGCAAATTGTGCATCTAACACCAGTCACAATTAGTAATGAACCCTGTCGTGAAAGCAGGGTTTCCTTCATACATTTATATAATAGTTTAGATGGGAAGGACCCCTTGGATGGAGTTCATCTTGTTAAAACTCCTGCTCAGAGCAGGGCAGACTGCAGAGTTACATCCAGCTGCTCAGAGACTTGTCGGGTTCTAAGTACCTGGCATGACGGGGTGCCACTTCTTGAGGAATGCTTTTACATTAGTGTTTAACAACCCTTCTTGAAAATAGTATTTTCTTATGTTTAAATGTAATTTCCCCTGTTGGATCTTACGAGCGTTGCCTCTTGTCCTTTCACCACGCATGTCTGAGAAGAATCTGCCTCTCTCTCCTGCAGCCATCCCTTGCACAGCAGGTGGAGTGCTCTTAGATCTTCACTAATTTTGATGGCTCTTCACTGGCTTTGTTTCAGTTTGTCAAGATCTCTCTTGCACGGCAGGGCCCCAGACAGTAGTGGATCTACAGTCCCACCAGTGAGAGCCAAATAGAGGGGACTAGGTCCTTTCCTCCTACCTGCTGGTCCCCTCATTAAAGCAGTCCAGCATGTCCAGTTAACCAAAAGGCTGTCCTTTGGTTCAGGTTACACTTGTCTACCAGAATCTGGGGAGATGCATGAAGTGACAACATCAGTGGATGAGAAATGAATCCCAAAGTATGTAGATAAACCACCTTTCACTTGAATCGAGGATAAACTTTGGATTTTAGGCACATTTACAATGACTACACTAACAGATCACACTGTGTATTTGCAGTTG